TTGCTCAGTTGCGAGCTCACGAGACGAGACAGATTTTTTATGCACGCGAAATGTCCAACGCTGTTTTCGTCCTCCACGTACAGCAGATTGACGTGCCTGTCCTTCTTTTTTTCCGAAAGACGCAACGGGACGATGTTCTCGTTCTCGATGATGTACACGTTTACGGAAATGTCGTTTGCAAGTTCAAATTTTTTATTTGATTCACAGTCACTGGAAACTCAATGTTTTGGAGATTCAGCACTGTTGTGTAATGCGGATAGGAGGATTCTCGATCCACATGTATATCAGCGGGGTACAGAGCGGCCACCACCGACCATGCGAAACACGCATTGTCCGCTGATCGCACATTAACCACCGCTCTCTTTGTTACAATTTTTTGCGGTAATTTGATACGACATCCCGCGCGCATAGGATTGTACTTGTTGATATTCACTGTCAAATCTATTATCCGCGACAATGCCCAACCGCTATCGCGTTCCTGGAACTCTTCTAGCGATGCTAGCGTGGGCTCGATTACGCGGCGCTCGTACCACTCGCGTACATCGGACGTGCGAAAGAGTTCAAAGTTTCTCGTGTTAATACTTTTATTGGCGCGCTTGTCACCGGACACAAATTCACCGTTGAAAACAGTGTTCACTTTTACACTGGCGTGTCTTTGTAGCACATTCTCCACGTTCTCGACTACAATGTCTGCGGCATTTTCCAAAAACTGACGCGGTTCGATGTGGTCTGCGTTAATTACCGCACCGGTCAGTATACGGCTATCGAACGCCGTATCGATTTCGCGCCAAACGAGTCTTTGCGCGTTATTGCCGCCGCCGCTGCCACTAGGTATGGATCCACCACTAGGCATGGATTCACCGACATCGTCTCTGCAAGCGCACCTTTGCACCCTCGAGTCGCGCTATTCTCGCCACCAGAGATTGTCTATGTCCAATCGAGAGACGCGGACGCTTGGCACGGCTGCGTTCTTCCAGCTCTTCGATAAACCGTTCGCACTCTTGCAGCCATCCGAAATATTCGCCCAAGTTAGCAACTTGGCGGGAACGCTCCAACAGGTCGCGCTCAATGTTCTCCATTTTTGTAAAAAATTCACTTATTACAAAAAAACTTCTTTGCACACTAAACTTTTTTTCTTGCACCTCGAATGAAGCGTGCGCTCGCCAGTGGTACTATGGCCCGGCAGCTGCATCGGTCCTCATTATATATCCCGATCATCCCTTTGTTCGTGGGGATGATGATGCAATTGTTAATTCGCGAGAAATATTTGTGTGATATCTTCGGAGAAAATTTAGATATCGCTGATAATTCTTAGAAATACATAGATAAAAATTTCACCCCGTCGGATCGACACGCCGGATCGGATTAACATGTCGCAACCTGTACGGATCAACCCGCTTGATTGTCGGCGAACCTTTTGTTCTTAGTAATTCGCAGAATTATCTTATCAAACTTAGATATCCGATTGTCGGCGCTCAGCTTGGATTCTGAAACGGCGGCAGCCATTCGCAGAATTTTTATCTTATCAAATTTAGATGAAGAAACGCAACCCCCTTAGATATTGTCGGCGCTTGATCCAAGCTTGGATTTTGCGGCAGCCATTCGCAGAATTTTTATCTTATCTTCGGAGAAAATTTATGAAAACTGGCTTTCTGCAAAGAGCTTATCTTATCTTGGATTTTAGAAAACTTATTAAAACTTTGATACCGCTCAAAAAATTTATGAATCTTATCTTGTTTATTAAATATTATAACATATCGCTCATAGTACTATAATCTATCTGTATATTTGACAGAAGACGCTGCCCGCGTACGTCACCCCCCTCGATACCTTATCACCCCCTGACTAACCATATATATTTATTTTTTTACAAAATATTAAAAACATTATTTCATTAAATTTTATCATTAACAAGCATTTATTCATTTATTGGATTTTTTTCGAAATTATTTATTTGAAACAATTTTGATACCATAGCGCAAATTTGTCTGACCGCTACATATTTAAAGATTTAATATTACTTATTAATTATTGAACTTTAATGCACAAGTAAAAAATTGATCCCTATTAATTTTGCTATTTATTAAAAAACTTGTATATATTAAAGTATATATAGTATTTAATAATATTTTAACATTTTATCCCCTTATCAGGTTATTTGATATTCTGTAAGATTATTCAAAACACAATGATTTACTAGACTTATCTAACTGAGAATTGACAAAGACCTAAATTCCACAAAAATTCTGTCCCCGCGTGCATTTCATTTAATGAGATCAACCTCCATTCGCTGCCGCTGATATCTCCCTGGTACCCCCCCATGCCCATTTCAGATATACAATACCCCCCAATGTTTTCAAAACCGGCAGCACCAATAACAAACCCTACTCGCCTAATTCCCTTACGCCCCCAACTCAAACCCTTAACCTACCTATTGTCACTTTCTTATTAACCGTATATTTTTTCGAGATTTTTAAGAATTTTACTTATTTATGTTATTGGCTATATATTTAATGCTTAATCTTGTCTTTAAATTAGTTGTAAAAATATACAGTTATAATTTTATAAATAAAACATTAGTAGAAAAATCGCATGCGGGGTATCTTTATTTAAACTCTTTTCAAAAAATAAATTTTTTTACTTACTTTTAATAGCATGTTAGCAGCTCTAGGTAGAACTCAATTTTTGAATTCTTTCGCAAGAAAAAAAACATATACGCAAATTCGGCCTTTAAAAAAAGTTGCAAATTGCTTCGCTTTTAGCTAATCAACTTGCAACTTTTTTTGTAAATTCAAGAATCAAGCTATTGGATAATTAGGAGTCCCTGGGACGTGTCCGGGCTTCCTAGGTGGTAGCTACGCCACTGATTTATAACGACCTCAGAAATGTTTTGACCTATCATCATGTTTATCATGTTGACACGTATAGAAAGACTTAGTCAGTCTTTCGTGGTCTTTCGAACCATATCGTGATAGATATAATAATTGTAATAAAGTGTGTGTGAAAATTTTATATTGTTTCCACATTGCATACTGCTAAAATATTAATTTGTTACAGTTAATTAAAAAACATTTATATCAATATACTATCGCAATTAACGCACTGTCCCGAAATATGGGTAAGTCAAAATAAGTCGAAAATATAAAAACATATATTTGTCCACAAATACAAAAAGAATTTAATCATACAGTTTAACGGAATTTTAAAGAATTTCCAACATATAAGCATGAAGAGAATAGTTTTATTTAAAATTATCTTTAAATTTTAATTCAGAGATAATTTCATATAATATCAATATTATATTTTACGAATTGTAATGTTGTTCTATAATACAAAACGTACAAAATGCACGTTAATATTCAATTGATAACGCATAACAAATAGTTCATATAGATTTAATAAGATACCATTAAAGCTAAAAGTTTTCAGATATGTAAATTAAATGTAATGATTTAATTGTAATGTTGAAATTACCTTGGACCAAAAATTATAGAGTAAAATGATAGAACGTATTAATTGTCAATGAAATGTAGAAATCCATAATATTTAGATTTGAAGCAGTCGTTAACACGTATCTATATTTTGAGGTGTTTAATCTGAAATATCTGAAAAAGACCCCTTTATATACAGGATGTCCCAAAAATAGTATTCAACTTGTTAATAGTAGATTTTTGAGATTATTTGGAGTCAATTTTTCTTCGGCGAGAATGCCGAGGGAGACTATCATTATTTGCATGTTCCCAAATTTGCCATCATGCATCTTATTGTTAGTAATTAAACCTTATATTAAAATTCTAAGAAAAGTAAACTCTATTTGAAATTCAGTGATAAATGTGATTTTGTTAATATTTTATTTCTAAAAGGCTTGGTTAGCAAAAAAACATTTATTTTCATTCCCTTATGACCCGAGAATTATTGATATTTCAACATTTTTGGAGAAAAATTTGTCTCCAAATAATCTCAGATATCTGCTTTCAAAATATTTACTGCTAGTTCTGAGACGTCTTGTATACAATCAAGTTTATAATTGAATTTATGTTGGCTCGCGCCGTTCCACAGTTTTTCTTTTTTCTACTGTCTTCTTTATTTTGAATGTACACACACGTATATATGTAAGTAGAAACAACGGCAATTGTGTTTATAAAATTAATTTATTTCAGACAACTAACTTTAGATACTATAAATCTTTATATTCTAAATAACATTCTATAAATAAATGTATATAATTTTTTGACAATAAAAATAATTATTTAAAGAAATATAAAATATGTTGTAAATATTTCTATATTGCTGTCAGTTACAATATGTGCAACATTGAAATACATATATATATATATATATATATATATAATTATATTTAAAAAATTGTGCAAATGGAAATTTGCACATTACTTCCTCACCATATAATATTTTGCTAATTAGAAAGGTTGTTCAATTAATAATTTTAATACTTTTTGTATTTATTTCTTGTTTATATACAAAAATCATTTAAAAATACATCAAAGCTATATTTAATATTTTTATTTCTCTTTTTTCCAGAGTGTTTTCCAGATCTAAAATAAATTTTCTTTTTCTCCGACATGATGATATTTCTAAAACTATTATTAAGTAGTGGATTAGTTTTTATCGCTGCAACGGCTTCCATTCGTAAAGAATCTTTAAACTATCAACCATCAAAAAATGTAATACCAAAGCATTACGATATTAAGTTTAAACCATATATTAAAAGAAATATTTTCTATGGGGAATACAATATCAGCATCTACATTCTTGGCAGAACAAAACACATATATTTATATTCAAAACATTTAGGTATTAAAGATATAGTTCTAATTAAAAATTTTAAAAGATATCATGAGAATGATAATGATACAGTTTATAAATCGACATATGATACTGAAGAAAACAAAATTGATATTTTTTTTATGGATGAGTTATCACCAGGAAATTACATCTTAAACATAAAATATTATGGTACTGCTGATGAAGTTTTTAAAATTTTTGACGTGAAAGAGAAAACTACGTAAGTAAATAATAAATGTTTATTAAAAAGAGTACAATATGCATTTACACATAAGATATTGTAATTAATATACTATTTATGTATGAAATGTCCCAAAAGGTATTATATATCGCGGAATTTAAATCTAAATGGAACAATCTTTATATTTATTACTATAATAATATGTAATAGAGTCATAAAATATAATATGTGTGAACGCATAATACATTTATTCATTTTCTAATTCACAATATTTTGATGCTTGTCAAAAAAGTTTCATTAATTTATGTCCTTTGAAATGTAGTTGGGTAGGTGGTCTGCATTTCCAAATAATAAGCGACCAACAATCATTTCCATCTTGGCATCAACAGGATTTTTTGTTAGAAGCAACCTTTAACATTACGATAGGATGTCATCAATGCACGGCATTGTCAAATATGCCATTGCGAAGTATGAAATTTGATGAGCACAATATGGTATGGAGACACTACGATACCACACCTGTAATATGGACTGAATACGCAACAATAATTGTGTCTAATTACCTAAATCCTACTTATATACATACTCACAACATTAAAATGTGGTGCAGATTTGAAGTTCACATGGAATATGCAAAAAATGTAATTGAAAATATCATGTTGTTTTTAAATGATAAATGGAAACATTCAAACAATATTTCGAAAGTGGATCATGTTGCAATTCCAAATTTCCATGACAAAGGCACAATAATTTTCGGACTTGTTCCTTATAGGTGAGTACAAAAACTTATTATTACATTAAAAATGAAATTATATTAATAAATAAAATTATAAAACTTAAAAGTAAGTATATCTTTTGTTTCCGTAAACGTTCAAAATTATAAGGAATTTTACGAAAACAATTTTAGTAGAACTAAGTTTATTCATATGTGTATTATTAAAAATTTAACGTTCACTCTTTTAATACCTACATAAAGTACATAAAGTATGTATATGCTGAATCATATCCCGTAAGATAGATGTTATACTGCATTCAAGTTATAAAAGAAATGACACTTTTTTATTTATTTCAAACTATTATTCTTTGTCAACGATATACATATTAATAGATATTTATCGTTGTTTCATATTGTAAATTAAATGTTAAAAATAATTGTTTGGTTACGATTTACAACACCGATTTGCTAAATTGTACCCATGAGTTTGTAAATCGAGTATTTAACAATAAAATTATAGTATTGTAACAAAAATAAAGTTTTATTTTCTATAAAAGTTTTCAGTCTTAACATTTATTAAATATAACTTTCAGGGAAACAGATATTATCTACGATACAAATTTATATCCTGTTTCTCACAAAATCGAAGTAGCTCAATTAGTAGGACGTAAGGTGACACAACAATGGTTTAATAACATGATGAACAATTCGTTAGTGTCAGATTTTTGGTTTAGAAAGGGTCTTATTACATTGCTTGCAACGTATGCTGTCAATGAGGTTATTCTAAATATTATCAACGCTATCTCGCTCCCACCTTCTCGCAAACGATACAATACTTATGCATTCATACATTGCAAGATTTTCTTAAATCAAACCTTTTTTACAATATTCATACACATTCTTTGTGAATTGTTTTAAAAACATTTAGCAATATATAAAATAATCATATGTTTTTTAAAAAATACTTTTTTCATATATTTACATACACATAATTATACAATAATTTAATTTTCAAAAAAATTTTTAACATTACTTTATATTTTTAAATTTTTATAAAATCTAAAATAAAATAAATTAATCAAAAACAAGTACCCATGACATTTATTTAAATAAATTTGATAAAGAGAAGTCTGCAATATATCATGAGACAATAATTGAAAAGTTTGTAATATTTCCTAATTATATTAATACAAAATTTTAGATTTTATTATTAAATATATTTTAATGTGTATTTCAAATTGAGAAAGTGTTTTGTTTAAACAATTAAGTAATGTTAATAATATTAGTATTTGTTTTTAATGCAAGTATATTTAGAACAGTTATATGAATATATTAATTATTTTTTCTTATAGGCTTATTCAGATTATCAAATAATAAATTTATTTGTTGTTCAAAATCAATATTACTCTTTTAATTTGGATTGTGATTATCATGTGTGGCCTTCTACTTCACAAGTTAACAGTTCATTGGAAATTCCCAATTCTATCAGAGGTATACGTATTATAAAAAAATAGTCCGCGTAAATTTTTAATTATTAATATTTTAAAATATGTTTAAAGTTAGAAGATAAGTAATATTCTTTATCCGGATTTGAATTAAATATTATTCTTGTAAAAGTATACACGCACACACACACAAACACTCACAAACATGTCCAGTAATAACTGTACATGTGTAAGTAGATGGGATTAACCGTATAGTCCTTTAATGTTTTGCTATCTTCGTGAGAATTATTGAAAAATTTACTTAAAAAATAGAATGATAATCAGTACTGCATTAAAAGACATTTCACTCTTACGCAATTACTACCTTGTATACAGATATATATAGTTTTTCTTTTCTTTATAAAATTGCTTTGTTTACAAGTAACCATTATAATAAATATGTATTTATAATATAATATAACTAATTTATCATTTTGATATAAATCGTAGCACCTTTTTAATGCGCATGATGGAACACGCCTTCACCAAAGAAATATTTTGGAAAAGCATTCGCTCATATATAAATAACACGTAAGTAATTCAATATAAAATATAATTTTGGCAAAATTGATTTCGACGTAACTAGCAATTTTATTCAATACTTTCACGACGTTTCGACCATTTGGTTGTGGTCCTTATCAAGTGAAAATTCTATAACACAATATTACACAATAGTTTTTAACAATGTTGAAACATACAAGAACATATTTAAATGTTGAGTTATGACCACAAACAGAAACATACCCATCAATTAAAATGAGATTAACGCAACATAAAACCGATCTTATTTAAAATTAATAGTTAAAAGAGGAACACGTCCCATCGCTATGATGTTTCGTCAACGACTAAATTTGAAATTGTTCGTTTGAAAGTAAAATTGCATGGTCTACTAAATAATCTCTAAAAACTCACCTTTAAAAAAAGGTAAAAAAAGGCGACCAGTTAAGGGCACGCCATTAACAAAAATTATCCATTGCAAACCCATGTAGAATCCTATCCTATTGCAAACCCATGTAGAATCCTATGAAAAATTAATCATTGCAAACCCATGTAGAATCCTATGAAAAATTAACCATTGCAAACCCATGTAGAATTGTATTAAAAATTATCCATTGCAAACTTATGTAGAATCCTACATTGCAAACCCATGTACAATAGAATTGTATGAAAAATTATCGATTATAAACCCATGTACAATCGTAACAAAAGTAATGAAATAAAAAAAAAATTGCGCCAAGTGAAAGTAGAAACTTGTACCAGTGGAAAATTAAAGTTGCAGACATATATAGAGTCGTATAATGAATCAGTAAAAATTTAAATTTGCAAATGTAGAATCGTACCATAAAAAAACTTATCTTTAAAAAAAAAGATAAACAAGATGCCAAGTCCATGCGCCATGTGAAAAAGAAATAAAAAAATTTTAGTTAAAAAAACTGGGCGCGCTGCTAAGTTTCAAAATTACAATGCACCTTAAAGTAACATTAATTAATTTAAACACAAAACATATTTTAACTGTAATGAGTTTAAAAGTAACAATTTAATTTTAATATTGTTAGAATATTATTTAGCAGCGCTCCCAGTTTTTTTAACTAAAATTTTTTTATTTCTTTTTCACATGGCGCATGGACTTGGCATCTTGTTTATCTTTTTTTTTAAAGATAAGTTTTTTTATGGTACGATTCTACATTTGCAAATTTAAATTTTTACTGATTCATTATACGACTCTATATATGTCTGCAACTTTAATTTTCCACTGGTACAAGTTTCTACTTTCACTTGGCGCAATTTTTTTTTTATTTCATTACTTTTGTTACGATTGTACATGGGTTTATAATCGATAATTTTTCATACAATTCTATTGTACATGGGTTTGCAATGTAGGATTCTACATAAGTTTGCAATGGATAATTTTTAATACAATTCTACATGGGTTTGCAATGGTTAATTTTTCATAGGATTCTACATGGGTTTGCAATGATTAATTTTTCATAGGATTCTACATGGGTTTGCAATAGGATAGGATTCTACATGGGTTTGCAATGGATAATTTTTGTTAATGGCGTGCCCTTAACTGGTCGCCTTTTTTTACCTTTTTTAAAGGTGAGTTTTTAGAGATTATATCATTCATTTTTGTATATTTTTATGACCGGAATAGAACAATTATTAAACATGTTTATCTAAACTTCTTTGCTTAAAATGATGTGTACAATCATATCCTAGAATCCTGATCATTCCTCCTAAAGCACCCTATTTATATAAATTTACCCATATGTGAGTGTGTGTGTATATGTGTGTGTGTGTGTGTATGTGTGTGTGTGTGTACTAATGTCGAGCATTTTTTATACATTTTCTATTAAATTTAGATAAAAGTTGCAGGATTTCGAAAAAGAAAAAGTTGACACAGACTTTTTCCTAAACGGCGATTTTCAAGGTTATTTAAAGGTCACTTATATTTTCAAAATAGAATTACCTTAATTTTTCTCATATAAATCGATTTAACTCGCAATATTTACTATAAAAAGTTGTAAAGTGTTAGCGCGCGATAATTATTGGCACTAACCTTTTTTACCTCGTCGCTGACTGGATTCGCGGTCCTCAGATCTATGCCAGATGGATGGATCTCGTTCAATTTATTATAATTAGTCAGGATGTGTGTGAGGATATATATGTATATTATGTTCCAATAAATGTATTTATTTGCGATCCGATGTGTATATATATATATTGTAGATTCGATACAGACGCCGGAGCTGCTGGTAACGCCGCCAGAATAATTACTTTCTCTGATTATCAGACTGTGTCAAAAACTGTCAAACTGTGTAACTGTGTAACTGTATAACTGTCTCTCGCGCTCAAATATCCTCATTTTTATACTCGCTTGTCTAAAATATTCCCACCCCAAAGCACCGGACCAATCGGAGTAATTTTACATAAAATCGTTCGGTGCTCGCGAAAACAATAATTCTTACGAACGAGAGAGATTAGGTTGACGGTCGCACAAATAAATAAAAATATAACGCATAATAAAACTAAACCGTCTAAGGACAAGTAAACGAAAATATAAATAAATAGATTAACATCTCTCTCGCTTTCCTTTCCCTTATACATACGGCAACAAAGTTAAAAATATATAAAAATGCTTACAAAAGGTATAATTTTTACATAATCTTACATAAACTTCGAAATATTACAAATATTTTATTTTATGAAATATTTCAGTTTATGTAAAATTATGTTAACTATCTTTTAAATTATTCACTTTTAGCCATCTTACCCTTACAACCTTTTATAGTGAATATTGCAACAAATTGGTTTATATATATAATATATATATAACATCAGTTATTATTAATTGATGTTTACATTTATTTTTAGACTTACTAGAGCTCAAATGCTCCACATTTTTTGCAAAAACTGTTTATTCTACAGATTTCAAATATGCTTTTAAATGATGATTGAATATTTCCTTTTTTTAATTATTTTTATTATTATTTTTCAATCTCAATCAACTTTTATAACTTTATGCCAGCACGATACAAATACATGTGTCTTTATTTTTTTTATTATTTTCATTATTATTTTTCAATCTCAATCAACTTCTATAACCTTATGCCAGCAGGATACAAATACATGTATGTCTTTATTATTGTATCAACTCTTGTCTTTTCCATGGCAAGTAAGTAAGTACATGTAATGTATCGTATTGGCATAACGCTATATCCGCGGAGCAGATAATGTGGCTGTAGAGGTAGTCTGCAGTGCAGCTAATGTGGACATAGATGTTGATTGAGATAATTGTCTAATATAAAATAGAATTTAAAAATTTAGTTTAAAAAACTGTTGCATATATAAATAAAGTTTATTTTTTCTAAATTTGGAATATGTTTAATTAATTAATTTTTTAAGTCTATGTTTAATAAATTTTTTAAGTCTGTATTCAATAATTTTATTCATTTGATAAATACATGTATGTCTTTATTTTGATATGTTTAATATAATTAGAAATTCATTATTAATTAGATATGTAAACTATAAATTCATATATAATATTTGAAAATATATGTGAATATTTAAATTTTTATCTTCTCCTTCCTCTCCTTCAATCTCTTTAATATCAATATGTGTATGTGTGTACACGCGCGCACATTTGTACGTATTTATTTAATTATTGGATAGTTGAGAGTACTTAATTGATAAAAAATTATGACAATAATAATCCTTGTTTTTTTTTCTTATTATTTACTCAGATTTTTTTGTCTATCTTATAAGATAAACACTTTAGAGATTGAATATTTCAAGTAAACTAATTGTAAGTAAATTTCACATTAATGCATATAGATGTTTAATCATGAATGTACTAAATAAGTACACAAGACGAACAGTGAGTGAGTGAGTGAGAATGAGAGAGAGTGTGTGTGTGTGCGTGTGTGTGTGAGAAAGAGAGAGAGAGAGAGAGAGAGAGAGAGAGAGAGAGAGAGAGAGAGAGTTAGCCAACATAACCCCGCACGCTGCCGATCATGAATGTACTAAATAAGTACACAAGACGAACAGTGAGTGAGTGAGTGAGAATGAGAGAGTGTGTGTGTGTGTGCGTGTGTGTGAGAAGAGAGAGAGAGAGAGAGAGAGAGAGAGAGAGAGAGAGAGAGAGAGAGAGAGAGAGAGAGAGAGAGAGAGAGAGAGAGAGAGAGAGAGAGAGAGAGTTAGCCAACATAACCCCGCACGCTGCCGATATGGCGGAGCGCCACTATCGCCATCTGTTGTAAAACGTGCGAGATGGACAAAATTACCACTACATGCATCTTGCATGTGTTGTGTACGTGTGATATATGTGTGCGCATGTGTTGTATACGTGTGAATACGTGTAGCACGATACTACTATGTATGCGTGGTCGATGATGATAATGATGATGATAATGATGATAATGATGATAATGATGACGGGGACGTTTCTTAATAGAAATTTTTCATATTTCGACTTTGCATTTATATATCTCTGCTTACAAATCACGTAGAGCAGAAATAAAGACACTTTTATTATATAATTCGAACTCAATCTATCGATTAAGTCTAGTATAAACTCGATTGCTTCAGCCATTATTGAGGATTCGAAATATTATAAAGACTCAAATGTCCGACTCGCGTTAAGATACACGGTGTCTCCGCTACGCCCTTAACTGGTCGCGAGACACTACCGTGTCTCTTGATTATAAATCGTATTAATTTTATACTTATACGAGTCATCCTATTAAGTATAAAATTAATACGATTTATAATTTAGTAGACTATGCAATTTTACTTTCAAACGAACAATTTCATAATACAAATATTGAGATTGTAAAGAACATTTTAATTAATAATTGATTTCCGGATCGTATTATTAATAAATATGTAAATAAAAAAATTAATGTATTAAATAATAATAGGAATGTTAATTGTCACAATGCGGATAATAACGATAATTTGAATAATGATTTGGATAATAACGACAATGCAAATTCGACTCGAGATAAGAATTACTATATGTGATTTCACTTCCATAGTTAAAGACGTTAGCGACAGTATTAAAAGGTCACTTAAAAATGCTAACCTTAATTTCGTTTATAGTTTGCCAAAAAAGTTAGATAGGCTGATAAAACGAGGTAAAGATTTAATAACTAATGATATAAAAACGAATGTAGTATACAAGATTAATTGTGAAAATTGTAATGCCTCATACATTGGACAAACGAAAAGACATTTATGCACTAAAGTGAAGGAACATGCGAGCAATATTAAATTACATGAGTCTAATCATTCGGTTTTGAGTAAACACAGATGTGATTTTGGACATGACTTTAATTGGAAATCACCGACCATTTTACATAATGAGAACCATGTAAGAAAGAGAGAGATTGCTGAAATGTTCTTCATAAAGTAGCATGATAATACTGTTACAGAAAGACACTGAGACTTTGACAAATATTTACGACAAAATAATAAAGATTGTTTAGTAGTGCGTTTCAAATTTAGTTGTTGACGAAATATTATAGCGATGGGACGTGTTCCTTTTTAACTATTAATTTTACATAAGATCGGTTTTATGTTGCGTTAATCTCATTTTAATTGATGGGTATGTTTGTGTTTATGGTCATAACTTAACATTTAAATATGTTCTTGTATGTTTCAACATTGTTAAAAATTATTATGTAATATTGTGTTATAGAATTCTCACTTGATAAGGACCACAACCAAATGGTCGAAACGTCGTGAAAGTATTGAATAAAATTGCTAGTTACGTCGAAATCAATTTTGCCAAGTTTATTTTTGCAACTAGCTTCCAATATTAATTTTGATTGATAAAATATAATATCAAAGAAATAAAATTGTGTAACTTAAATAATGTTTAATAATAGAAGTAGCGCGATTTTATAAAATGTCCGTTATTTTTTGGCTTCTACTGACATTATTTCTTAATGTTTTTTTAGTGTAACAATTCTGCTATTTTCCTAAATCTTCTACTAGATATATTTTTAATTTCACTCTTTTTTATTACTACTTTTATATATTTATTTTACTTCTCTCATAGATCTATCTTCTTTATATTAATTTTCTTATCCTTTGTTTTGTCTTTATCTTCTTTATTGGTTTCGTTATTTCTTTTTTAATATTTTCTAATTCTAATAATTCTTTGAATACTTTGCTCAAATGTAATCTGTATTAATTCTTACTAATACTTAAAAAATTGAATAAAATTATTAAATTTAATTTAAAATAATGTTATATTATTTATTGTCAATATATATTATCATTAATTTATTAATAATATAAATGTAAGATATATAAATATGGTAGATATACAATATATGAATAGAATTGCAATTTTATATTTTGCTCTTAGAGTTTATTAAAATTTTTTTATAATATTAACATTATATACATACAATTTTAACATATTTGTAATGTTTTCTTATATATTTTACATACTTTGTTTTGAGGATTTATTGCTGCTACAGACAATTCAGATATTGCTTTAACAACAATGAATTATTGGGCTGTGGAAAAACATTGTCCTCTCATAAAAATAATACGAAGTTATGAGCATTCTTTTAGCCAAACAAATATATCAATACAAAATATCGATACATTAGAAATTCCTTGCTTACCGATAACTTTTACTACTCAGACGGATTCCAATTTTAGCAATTTCTTACATTTTTCATTATGCAAAGGACATTTAATTTTATCAACATTTAAAGAGGATGGTTGGATGATTTTCAATATACAACAAATTGGTAAATATCGACTAATTGATTATGACGTATAACTCGAGTATATTTTATACATACATAATTATTATTATTTCATATTTTTATCTATTTTATTCATTGTCGCATAAAAATCTGAGATGTTCATTGTAAAACTATAATAGTTTTAAAATATTTTGTGTAATTTTCTGCATTATTATATATGTATAATTAAGATATACATCTGCGTTTTCTATTATAATATCAATCAATATTAAAGTTATAGTTTCACAAATATTTTAATCTATAAAAATAAAAATGATTGAAAGTTAATTATATTTATAAAATAAGTATAATAATATGTACAAGTAAAACATAGAATATTCGTAAAGTTACATGCAGAAACTTTACTAATTAATATAAAATAATTATTACATAATTTATGTAGAGCTAGAGTCAATTTTATTTTATTCTATATAACACTATCTTGCACAGCTTTATTTATTATTTTAATTAATTTTCTATATGTATTTGCATTTTATTTATATGTATTTAATTTTTCTGATTTTTTAAATTTATAATTTATATAAACAAAAGTAAAAAACTAAAATGTTTGAAAATAAATATATTATAATAATAAAATTATTTAAAATAATGAATATTTATAAGATTTATATACTATTCAACAGGATATTATCGCGTGAACTATGATGATGAGAATTGGCGAAGAATTTTATATTATCTGAACTCTGATAATTACACGAAAATTCATGTTCTTAATCGTGCTCAAATTGTCGATGATGCATTTCATTTAATGATAGCAGGAGAACTCAAATTCATTATATTCATAGATGTAATATCGTATTTGCATCGAGAAGAAGATTATATAGCATGGTATCCTATGTTTAAAGCTCTGGAATACATATTTAGCACTTTTTCTGTAGCCATGATGCAAGTTAAAATGTGGACTTTTAAGGTAAATTTTAATAAATATTAATAGAAGTATTATATTTCAGATATTTGCATATACACTTATTAATTACAAAAATTTTAATATTCAAAAAAATACCGCAACGATAAAATTTTACATAATATTATACGTCGCAAACAAATGTGCTTTAATTATATCTTTTAAATATTATAAATATTTCGCATAAATTAAAGCATATTTTTTCATATATGTATGTATATTTGAACGTATGTACGTGCATAAATAAACGCTCGCGTCTATAAGTAAATTTGTATGTATGTTTGTCTTAAAGAAAGAGAATATTTTAAGAATATATTAGTAAATAATAGAAAAATATAAAAATTTTTATAAATAATTTATTAAAGTTCGATTTGACTGGTCAATACAAATCGTATTACACACAACGTTTCGACCTTTGGATACGAGCCCTTATCATGTATATTACTCAATATCATGTCTTTCACTTTAACATCTTGAAAGCACCACTTGATAAAGGCTCGTACCTAAATGCCAAAACGTTATGCGTGATACGATTTGTATTGACCAGTTTGATCAAACTTTAATAAATCATTTTTAATTTTATTAGCGCCTTTATTTTAATCTTTTGAGATTTTAATAATTTTTAAATACATTTCTAATATGAACAAAGAAATATATATTTAACAATTTTTAGAATTACATAAACCATGCATTAAACGAGGTACTTAAAAGAATCAAATATGAAGAAATTGATGATAGTGACGACCTTAGAAAATGTTTACGACAAGAAGCTGCAAGATGGGCATGTTTTTTCGGCGACTTCGAATGTAAGACAGAAGCCAACAATAAATTAGTACAACATCTACAAAATTCTATAAAGCACAAGTAAATATTGTTATATATCTTTAGTCTTTCTTAATCATTCTTGTAGGTATCGCCTATAATATTTAAATAATTTGATCAAGAGGTCCATATGCTAAATTTTAATAAGAAAATTAATTTTTTTTATATTTTAGACTTTTGCCATGGTGGAAGGAATGGACATATTGTAACGGTTTCATGATAATCAACGAAAAAATCACTTGGCAATCAGTGTATGATGTAGGATTGAATAAATCTGACACTAAATTTTTAGAATACTTGGCTTGCTCTGAAGATACTGATGTCATCAATAATTATTTAAACAATCTAATATACTATTACCAGTACAATTATAGGAAGGACTATCAATATCTTTTTAACAGTTTGTTTTATATTAATATTATTACGAAGCATGCGAAGAATCAAATTACACTGCAGTACATATTAAACAATTTTCAAAAAATAAAACCAAGGTAATGTGGCATACTTTTATAAATATTGTGTACAAAAGTTTATTATGTGTATTATTATACATCTGTTTTATCGCTTTTAGTAGTGATATGATACCTGCAGTATTTATTATTATTATTAACAACGTATATTTTGTAGATCAAACTGAGGTAAAAATTTTACATGTTTATATATGTATACAAAACATGATAATAATGCGTTATTTATAATTATTATATAATGTTTATAATAATTTTCATAATGTTATAACAACGTTATTTATTAATAATGTTCATAAAATAATACATTTTAGCTAATAAAGGAATACGTCGAAACATGGTACACGACATTTGCAGGCACGTTTCATAAAATGAATAACACAGAAGATTTACTGAAAAAATATCAATTAAAGGTAAATTTAATAAATATTATTATGGAAAGCGAAAGAAAAAGAAATATTGTGTTCTATTTTATCAATTTCTGAATATTAATTTTATATTTGTTTTGTTTATTATATAAACGGTATATTGATTTCATTGTATAAATCTTTGTTTAAATATATTAGGATTCCATAATAGAGAATTTGGACAAAATTAAGAGCAAAGTATTAATTCGCAAGAAACAAATCAAAAGAGAGACACAGTATTTTGAAAATTTTTTTCTAATTGGTGGATGTAAAAAAATTGCAGCTTTGCATACGGACATACCATTATATGAACAATTTTTTATATTGTATGCATTATTTTTTTACTGCTTTAATTATTGTTTATTTAAATGTATTACTATTAAATGCTTCTGTATTTACAAACTTTATGACTGCATGCATCAATAATACTATACAGCTATATAATATTATAATAAATTTTACTGTTGAATATAATATAAAAATATAAAAATAATAATATAAAAATGTGTAAATATAAATATATAAATATGATTGTAAAATGATGAATGCACCTAAATGTACTATCTATTTATTTTGTATTATATATTGATTTGTTTTTAATTTTTTTCCGTTAATAAATAAAATTATATGTTTACGCGCGCACGCACACACAAGCATGCACGCACGGCGGCACGAACGCGCGCACGTACGCGCAACATAGACACACATATATTGAATTATTATTTACTTATTATAAACATTTATAGCCAACATATTTATATTTATACGTACTATTAAATTCTTTATTATTTAAATTGTACATGTATATATGCGTATGCATGTGTGTGTGTGTGTGTGTGTGTGTGTATATTATAGTAATACTATATATTATATATTACGTATTATATATATATATACAACTCATATTATATATTAAATGTATTATAATATTATAAATTAATATATTATAATATTAATGTACGTATATATATATAAACATAATGTTTGTATAACAATAAGAATTAATAATATGTTAACGTTATATAAAAATTAATTTTAATTATATGTGCCATACATATTCAAAAAATAAAAATTTTTACATTTAATATGTTATTATATAAGATTAATTTTTATTTATCAGTTTACAATAAATCACATGACACAATTTCTCTCTTTCCCTCTCTCCTTTTTTCTCTCTCCACTCCCCTCTCTCTCTCTCTCTCTCTTTCCCCTTTCTCCCTTCCGCCCTCTCTCCCTCTCCCCCCTCTTTCACTCTCTCTGTCTCGTTCCCCTTTCCCTTTTTCCCATTCTTCTTATGTAAATCCACATTTTAATTTCACAAAGTTATCTATATAAAACATTAACAAAAAGTGATCCGATTGCCAGTTGAAATTTTGAAATAAATATAAAAAAGAATTGATTGATTGACACTGGCTAAGGTAAAAAATCTTTTATTAAAAAAGATACAACGTTTCGACCCCGAATTGGGTCCAGGCTACAAAATTAAATTATACATCTTAGTTAAAAAAACATAAAATTATCAATAAACAACAAGAGTTAAATGATAAAGGAGAAGAATTTGAAGTAAATGTCGATCCTAATTCTTTTTCAGATTCTAATCCGAATCTTTTTAAAATAATAATAATTGGTTTATTAATTTATCTAATACTAAGATACCAGACAATATAATTAGTATGCTTCAATTAGGTGAAAACTTTAGTCTCCCGAATAATAGTAGGGTACAATTAACCATATATTTCATAAAATATTTTGAAAATAATCTAAAAAGACTGCCTCCTGATAAAAGAGTTTTTGTTAGTGAAAAATCTAAGATTGTGGTGAATGCGATTAATCAATACTGATATCCAGATAACGGTTTTAATAAAATCTTATTAGAGTTGAGTGTAAACACTAAAAAATTTTGGATGAAAAACCGAATTTTATTATCGCAAAGGCTGACAAGGGAAATATTACGGTGGCGTTAGATAAAGACAAATATTTAGAGGAGGTTGAAAACATTTTTAAAGATAGAGATACTTACATTTTGGTAAAAAACGACCCTACAAATAGTATAATTTCCAATCTCCATGATCTTTAGTGAGATGGAAAAAGAAAGGTTTAACATCAATTAATACTTACAGGTATTTATCGTGTAGTGATGGTAAATCTTCCTAGAGCTTATGGATTACCGAAAGTGCATGAAATTAATTGTCCCTATAAGTTATCGTCTCGTCTATTATACACCACTTTATAATTTAGCAGTTTTTTTACACAAGATATTAATAAAAAGTATCCAAAACTGGTAGTTATACAGAAAACGGCTTTAAATTAGTGCAAAAATTTTCTACATTACAGTTAGAGAATAATTCGAGTTTGATTTTATTAGATGTTGTTCACTCTTTACTAATATACCGGTAGAGACTTAGTTTTGGAAGATTTATCGGAGAGATGGCAATTCATTACTGATAATTGCAGTCTTAGTAAATCGGAATTTTTAAATGGCATTAGTTTAATATTAACTCTACATTTTTTTTACTTTTAACGATGCTATATACAAACAAACTTATGGAACTCCGATGGGTTCCCTCCTTTTTCCAATAGTTGCTGATATAGTGTTACAAGATTTGGAATCCAAAGCTCTACATTTACTTAACTATAAACCGGTTTTTTTCCACAATATGTAGATGACCTTATATTCTTTATATGAGAGCCGATAAAAATATTTATTTCTAAATATTTAATTTAAATAATTTTTGATAATATAATAATAACGTTGTCTATTAATAATGACAAAAATAATACATTTTAGTATATAAACGTATACGTTAGACATATTTGATGACCACTGAAAGCTTATATGTTGGAATGAAAGAAAAAGGTAAATTTAACAAATATTATTATGGAAAGCGAAAAAAAGAAATATTGTGCTATCTTTCTCTATTATTTTTTGAATATTAATTTTGTAT